AAAATATTGTGACATGGTACTTTGAAAAGTAGGCTGCTTTTGGAAGCTCTGGAAACTTGGCTTCTACCCTTTTCGTGTTAGATAGTATGAGAGAATTTGCAGATCTCTTTGAGAACGTTTGCAGGTTTCTGAAGCAATTGGTATGTGATATAGAAGGTATATTTTGGTACTGAATTAAAGCAGGTATTTGGTACTAGTTTAAAGTACTAATTTTGTACTACTTTACACATTTGTTTTACACCAAATTATTTTTCTTTATTGTTTCTTTTAAAATAATGTGTTATTTAATAGCTGGGCTATGTTTTTCAGGGTAAACAAAGAGTAGTGTGGACATACATGGTGGCCTATTAGCTGTAATCCATATTTTTTTGTATCAGTCACTGTATGTCCCTGTTATTCCAGAACAAATACATTTTAGAAAAGCGTCATAGCAGGAAATTGTTTGGAGTTAGGCAAAGTTCAACTCTGTAAACTCTGTATTAGTTTTTTAAGACAATATCTAGGCATCTAAATGAAGGTGGCTTTATTTTCCAAGCTGGTCTTACAGCTCTTACTGGCTGTTAGTTGTAGCTAGTTGTTAATTATTAATTGTTAATTGTAGTTGCTCAATGTATGCTTTATTAGATGTCTAAATCCACTTAAGGCAACTTGTTTTTAAAGTGTCAGGCTTTGAGGCAACTGCTAGTGTTTTTTATTAGGGCATTTTTGCTCAGTGCTGTAAAAATACAGTTGTTTAAGCTGGATTCCCGAAGATGGAAACAAAGATAATCAGGGTGCTGTGAGCAACGTCACTTCTTCACATATCATTCAAGTTAGAATAACTGCTGTCATTTATATGCATTCAATTAATGTGCGGTGCTGCAGCAGTTATTACGCAGTTCATCAAGCGTGTGTAATTAGCTGAGAAACTTTCACTTCCTATCACCCAGATGCTGATTCACAAAGTCATAAATAAAGATGCAGATCTCCACCATTGTTCTCAGAAAACATCTTTTCCTATGAGAGAATATTTAAAAAAAATAAATCAGAAAAATAACGAAAATAAAGGGAGGGAGAACCCAGCAGAGGACAAAGTCATGCTTATTGCCCTGTGAGCCTGAAGGAGAATAAAGAGAGAGGCATTTGAAATTCAGGAGGTACCTTTCCAGTTAAATTCATTGTGCACACCGCACAACAAGAAGCAGCAGAAGCTTACCTTTTCCCATTGACGCGTGTAGAAGACTCCTCGATACCTTCAGCCTGGGCAGCTGGCATAGCTGTAGTAACCTCTGTTCTCCGAGTAACTCACGCTCTACTCACCGGTATATAACCTAAGATCATCCTTGGTTTGGATTGCCCCCAGACCTGCTAGTAAAAGCAGCGATGTTGTAAAATAAGGTTGCAGTAGAGTCACAGCATCTTAGCAGCAACAGCAGCTTGGGAATAGCATTGGTTTTGTATGAGAAAGAAGAAAGGCCCAGTATTTTCCCTCTTGCTGCATTTTTAAGTTGCAGTCATTTCATCACATTCAGCAATGAAAATTACTGAAGAGAGAGAGCATGAAAAGAAGGTGCAGATTTATACACCATCTTTTAATTAATAAAGGATATATAAATTCAAAGTGACTGAACCAACAACTGTATGCTATCATATATATTATTTGATTTTTTCTTATTACATGAAATAGATTGAATTAGATAAACTAGTATCTATACTTCATCTTCAGCTGAGGAACAGGAGAAAATTCAACATTTTGAAGAACAGGGAGTAGTCTGATGAAGAAAGATGCAGAAATGAGAGGAATTCTATCTATGGGTCATGCTGGAGGTTGCAGTGAGCACTATAAGCGTTACCACCGGTCGGTGGGATTTGGATATGCGCACTGCAGAGGCTCCAAAATGCTGGGCTGGAGCTGGGTGAGAAGGAATGAGACAATATAGCGCACTTTTTGCTAAATATGGATGCCTATATTTCAGTATGCTTCTTCATCTTCAATTTACTGATTCCATAGATAAAGAAAGATCATCCGCTTTCGTGTCTTTTGCTTCATGTACGTGAAGGTCAGCGGTTATAATTCCATTATGGGTGTGTACACAAGCAGAAACCCCTCTATTTGCTAGGGCTGGTTTTACAAAATCTGTGTAAAGGCGTCTGCTTTATTTTGTGTTGGTTTTTTAGAGGCTAGACTCCGTAATTCTACATTCTAATGGAACCTGGATTATAATGTAGGTAACACTGTTTTACTGACTGGTAAGAACTATACTGTTGATCATCTGGTATTTCCTGAATTTCCTGACAAACTTTTGCATCATTTCTAGGGAATACCTGAACAGTTTTGCACTCTTTTTCACATTTCAGATCTCTATTTTACTTTCTAGTCAAAGCATGAAAATTTTACTTGTGATCCAGAGTGACAGGGTAACTCATTATCTCTTAGGAGGATTGTACATCCTGCTTTAGCTGCATGCTTCTGTTTTTTAATACGTTATATTCATATCTTTGTGTTGCAACAGTTTGCATCATGAATTTCCTACTTTAATGACAACTACATAAAGAAAATTTGAAAATGATCACTAATATGACCACTAAAAGAAACCGCAGGTATTGTGTGTTCTGCACGTGGAATGATAGTATGCTCTTTCTTATGAACCTGTACCAAAGCCTTTGTATTGCCTGAAGATATTTGAATGTGAAAATGTGGAGGTGTAATTTTTTGTTGAGAATATGATATATACTCACTGTCACGGAACTAGACACATGCAGTTTTGGATACTTCAGTATTTGTAGGACAATTGGGAATAGAATAAGGAAAGAGATCACTTGATCCTTACTTTTATGCTTAGGAATTACCAGTGGCTAAGAGACCGCCAAACATCAGTGACTTCTTCACATGTGGATTCTGTTTCTTATTCTAGTCGGTGTAGTGAATAAATTTTAAATGCAAAGAATCATGATCTGAACTACCTCATTTGAGAGTGTAGGATTAGACAGCTCCATTAATATTTATGCTTCCTAATGGGCTACTTGATTTTCAGAGCAAAGCTCCCAACACCATACTTTCTGGGTTATGGCTGTGGTTACTATGGACGCATAGGAACATATATACATACATACAAATACATTCTTGAAGATGAAATATAAATCACAGTGCTATAATCTTAACCTGATTTGAACATTCATTGTTTTCAGTAGAGCATACCTTACATCAATTGTGGTTCATAAATGGCACTCATAACTTCAAGGCTTTTAAGCTTAGTAATATGAAATATTTTTTACAAATCTAAGGAGAAATGATGAGAGCCCAGTTTAGCCTGTTACCCTGTGTTTCTGTTGGATGTTCGTTCCAATACTCCATTTTACTATCTTCGAACTGTTTGGCTTATCATCAAATTTTGGAAAAGAGGAATTAATGCAACATATGCAGTTCCTATGGACTTCATTAAATGAACTTCTTTCTGTACCCCTGTTTCAGCTCCAAAATCAACCAGAAAAACGCAAGCTTAGACCTGCAGGCTCTGAGCTCTTGCTGACCACACAGTTGTCGTGCTGTCATTGCTTTGTTCATATACCTTGACAGTGCTTATAGCTCTAACAGGTCTTAAGTTCTGATCTAATTCCATTCCTTGTCCATTATTTTACTGCTTGCTTTTCATTTTCTACATCCTCCCACACACAGGTTCTAAAATAGTACTGTTACCCTGATAATACTAAGTCAGATAAAACTGGTTTGTGCTTCTTCCCCTGGCTTTTCTTGGGTCGGACCAGTTTTTCTCAGCAAACAACTGTGATGTGGTTTTCCTTTCAATCTTTTCTAATTTATAATTTAAAGCCAGAATGGACAAATATATTAAAAAATAGCTACACAAGTATATTTGTACATTTTCAGGAGGAACATTTGAGTAACTAGTAGGACTTTTGCATAACTATTATCTTCTGCTTGCTTTTTTGTAATTTTTCCCCTATATTTTATTATTATTCCTTTGTTGTTCTTTGTGTTCATGCTTTTAATTTCCTTATTGCCTTATAATACACATAAATACAAATATTATTAGTATTCTTTGCATGTCTTTTGAAGCTTGAAACATGATGCTTACACGTGTCAAACCATTCTTAAGGATCATCTCAATTATAATGTTAATAATCTACTTATAACTTGAATATTGCTCCACTATAATTTCAATTTTATTTCAAATTCTTTTCACTTACAGTTCTTTAGCCCTCTTCATTTTTACTTTATATTGTCAAATTTACATGTCTTCTCTGCTTTGATATGTATAGTATTATTATATTGTACTCTGCATTCAGAACCCAACTGCTTTAATGAGCTTAACATAAATGAGATTTGTTTTTGGGATATCAAACCATTTCCTTCTGCTTTAATATTAATATCTCTTATTTTACTTTCTCATGCTTGTAATAATGAAGGTTCTTCCTGAAAAGAAAGAACATTAGCACTGAACAATACAAGGCTGAGGGAAGTGGGACACAGCTGACTTGAAGCCGTGTTTGCACCTATCTTCCAACACGTTGCCAAGACCAGAGTGGTCCCTGGCCGGAATCAGAGCCACCGCGGGTTCTCTAAGTGAATGCAGGGATCGCAAGACACGTGGAAACGGTATAATGCAGGTGCTGCAGCTGATTTTCCCTTCCAGAGTTTTGCTGAAGTGCTCTGAAACACTTCAGCAGCAACAGTAAATCATGTTGCTGATTCCTCTGCTGTG